AAGGACTGGATACCCCAAGGAACTGGTATCTGACTTAGGGACCCAGTTTACCTCAAAGCTCATGACAAAACTGCTTGAGCTATGCGGAATTCGACATCTTACATCAACGGCATACCACCCCCAAACCAATGGGTTGGTTGAAAATCTGAATAAGACACTGATTAAGATGATGAAGTCATATTGCCAAGAAAGACCATTTGATTGGGACAATAAGCTTCAACAGCTATTATTTGCTTATAGAACCGTCCCTCAGGACAGTACAGGATACAGTCCTTTTGAACTGTTATATGGCAGGAAGGCTCGAGGACCGTTGGATTTGGTTAAAGAATACTGGGAAGCTAGCCCAGTAACAGAACCGGTTCCTGTAGATGATTATTTGAGAGATCTTCAATCAACAATGCGGTTAGCCAGAGACATTGCACAAGAGCATCTAACTGCAGCACAACATCGGCAAAAAGACTATTACGATGCAACGGCCAAACCAAGAACCTTCAATGTGGGAGACGAAGTCCTGTTTTTGTCGCCCAACAGAACCAGCAAGCTTCAACTAGATTGGTCGGGACCATGGAGAGTCACCAGAAAGCACAACCAAGTGAACTATGACATCTATGATGAACATTTAAATGTTGAAAGGAGAGTCCATGTAAATATGTTAAAACCTTATGTTGTAAGGTCTGCGAATGTATGTTTTGTTGTTGCGGAAGAAGAATCCGGTCCCTTTTCTTTTTGGGAGGGTGATCGTGAACAGTATAAAAATTTAGATCGTATAAATATGAACATAGAATTGTTTAAAAAGCAGCATAGAGAAGTTGGATAATGTGAAAGGTACAAATAATAAGTTATTGAGATAGAGTTTGTGTTTGCAGGATTTTATGTTTCAGGTAAACGTAATGTGGTTGCGGACGCCTTGTCTAGGATTTCCATAGGTTAAAGGTTTGTATATATGTATAATTAAAATGTACTTAACCATAATGTTTTCCTTTCAGAATTGGTGTATGTATTTATTGTTGACTAATATGTGGAATTATTTTTGTCATTCTAGGATTGAGAATGGTTCAAAAATACTTTTTCTGGGGGGGAAGGTGTAGAGAAGTGTCTATTATAACTGTGTTTTAAACTGTGTTTATGCTTTACATTGTAGCCATGACCTAGCTGAGAGAGATAGGTTGCCATGGTGACAGGCCAGAGGAGGTGGGCGGAGCTTAAGTAGGAAAGGTTTGAAAACGACAGTTTAGAATCAGTCAGGCGGATGAGACCCTGAAGGACAGAGTCAAAGGGGACTCTGGGATAATAGTTCAGTCAGGGGAATGAAACCCTGAGGGGCAGAGTCAGTTGAGGCTCTGTGGTGTAGTGTAAATTCAGCCAGTTCTTAGGATTTGTGAATATTATTCCAGCTAGGAAGCTGGAGGTGAAACCTCGTTAGATTGCTTGAGTAAAGAAAGAATCTAACAAGAAAGAGGTTTAGGGATCCCAGTGGTGAATGGCTGGAGATCGCTAGTTTGATCCTGTGTAGGACAAACAGTTGTAAATATTCACAATAGGGAACTGAAATATTAAAGCACCTCATTGTAGAAGTCAAAGAATTGTAACATCACCTGAATGTATCTCAACTAAGCCATATTTGTAACCATCAAGCTTGTGCCAAGTTCAACAGTTAATATTGCAACAGTTACGCTCCGACAATAAATCTGTTCTCTTTGTGTTTTAAAAACCTGCCTCATCCATTGATTTCAACGTTTTGCACAATCCACACTACCAAAGTGGCCTCACAACCCAGATAAGAAGAAACAGAGATTATATTACCAATATCTCTTTATATTAGGGTGGCAGCTTAACCTAGAAGTCTCAAATTCTCATTACATTTGTGTGGTGATCCTATTTAGTTGGGATTTCACGCCATTATTTTATTTTTGGAGACTACTTCACATATTTTGGTGGCAGCAAGTGAACGGCTTCGAATTGTAGTAACGAGCGGTGGGGACGCGGCTTCGCATCCCTGTACTGTTAAATGCCGAGGAATGGACAGGAGTGCTCTGGAAACACATGCCTGGACTCATAAAATTTTGAGTGCATATTCATGCTATAAATTCTGCTTTATGGTACATTTTTGGATGAGAGAGTTCACTGGATTGTTGTAGGTTTTCCGGGCTATATGGCCCGGAAAACCTACAACAACCCAGTGATTCCGGCCATGAAAGCCTTCGACAACATTCTAGTGTATCTTTCAAAGGTATATGTACTTATGGACAAAGCAAGATATTTGTTTCATAAGCAACCAGTTTAAAAAGTGAACAAATTCCATCTAGATCAGAACAGTGGACAAGCTCCATTTTTCTTTACGTGTTTTCCTGCTTAAAATCTTCCCCCCTCTTGACATGCCTGCAATTTGACTTTGGCACAGAACATATAGGTTTACATGGAAGGGATCACTGTATGTTTTTAGTTCAGTTCTATTCTTTCCTACAGAAATCAGGCACTCATGACCTTTCTAAACTCTTGTTGTATTTAAGTCAAAGAGCTGAAAAGTTATTTTTCTGTATAAAGCCAAGAGCAAATGTGATGCCCTCATTATCCTGAACTAAAGCAAACAGAATTTAAGTCCTACCAGTTTACGTTGTCATCTGAGGAAGAACATCCCATGTGTGCCTCTCCACTTTTCGGGAAGCATCAGTACAATAAGATTAAATAGCTAATAATGTGTGATTCTTTGCTGCACATGAAATCTCATTCTTCTCAATGTACTATCTAATGTAGCTGTATAATGGCACCAAGTCACTTGTCAATTTAACAGCAACTGCATTCATTTCATGGAGAATAAATATTCAAAACTTTTCTTTAACAAGAAACACGCTGATATGGTTTGCCATCACCTTCCTCTAAATATAGCCTGCTGTACTCCCTCTCCCTCAATACTGTCTATTTTTAAAAAAATTAAATTTATGTCAGCTGATTACTATATCAGATGAAAACAGCTACATGGATTTTTACCAGATTTCAAAAGTATGTTTGGGATGGTTCAACCTGAACTTCCACCCCATTCCATGAGCAGTCTCTCATGCAACAGGCAAAAACGGGAGCCCTGCAGAGATTCTCCATTACACTCCTGGGTGGGATTGTCAGCCAACTGCTTCCTTGTTGAAAGGGATATAGAGCTCTTGCTCACAGTGGCTGCTTCCCAGTAATTGGAGCGTGGGAGATTTTCATGGTCCCTATGTAGCTCATAAACTGGAGGCTATTTAGGGGCGGTAATGTGAAACAGTTCCATAACCCTAAGTTTCACATCCATAAATGCTATACTGTACATGTTTCTGACCAATCTCTCCTTCGCTTTTCTGGGACTAAAACAGGCATGGACAAACTTTGGCCCTCCAGGGGTTTTGGACTTCAACTCCCACAATTCCTAACAGCCAGCTAGCTGCCTGAGACTTCAGAGAGTTGAAGTCCAAAACACCTGGAGGGCCAAAGTTTCCCCATGCCTGGTCTAAAATCCACAGCTTAATCTTGAGTCAGGTTGGATTTTTCATCTTAATGGAATCTATAATGTACAATGACAAACAATGATACACTGATCATATGTAACAATAGTTCCTTTGCCAACATGCATTTAGAAATGTTAAAATACAGTACATCAATGCAATTATCCTAGCATTACTTATGGGCATCTTTCCATTATAAATCAGTGGAGTCATAACTCCCAGGTCAGAGAGCTTATTAGTTTGCTCTGGAAATTATCCAAGATATGATCCTTTGAGGGAATATAGGGATAGGATTCAGTAGCTTGGATCTCTCTTTTAATATCTGGAATTGACTTACTGTTCCACAAACATACTAGCCATCGGCTGCCAGTGTTCCTAATTCAGTAGTGCCACCAGTGTTGCAGACTCAATGACCAGTGAATACCACCATTTCTGAATACTCCTCCTTCCATCTAGTGCACTTCTTTCAGTTCCCAAGAGAAAAATCAAAACTGTCATGATCAAAGACCATTTCTTTGCAATAAATATCTCCAGTGTTATGCTCAATGCAAAAAGCATTGAGCATAACACTGGTGCAGTTTAACTGTGTTTCTGTTATGAATTCTGGATTATGTCATTTGTAGAAACTGGCCAATACAATATGGTGGTTTTGAGTAAAATTAGCACAGTTTTTTTAATTGGTGAGATATGTCAATGGCACTTTCCCCCCAGCTGTAACACTGCAAAGCTTGGGATAACTTTGTGAAAGAAAGACTTGGAAAATAAAACATGTTTGCAAGGTTTTATTTTATGTTATGCATAAGCAAAAAAAAACAATAATTATATGATTCCATTCTCATACAGAGTTTAATTAAGGAAGCAATTGTCTAGCATTTAGAGATACCTTACCAATTAAAGCTTCATATAACTAGTACATTACTAGACATTGTTCTTTATACATAATATCTGTATCAAATGTGAGGACACAAGGGAGGCACTGAAGAAAGCAGAGATACAACTGAGATTAGTGTAAATACTAGACACACAATCTGAAGACAGGATGAACCAAGATCCTAAAGGGATGTTTGGGCTTCTGATCTTGGAATACATAAAAAAGCAAACTAGACAATAGACTAAACCCTGAAGGACATCATCTTACTTATGGCCAATGGCTATGCATGGCAATAATATATGATGTTTATATGAAGCATGCTTTCAAAAGAATTGCAGTCTCATAATATAATATAATCTCTAGCCAATCCTCTTTGGAAGTATTGTTAAGACAAAATGTTGCCAAGTTGGAAAGAAGTTGCAAAGAAGTAGAGATTTTCCTACCAGCACAACAAGTTGAAGGGCAATCTCTTAATGAGTATTAAGTACATTTTCAAAAGGAATAAATTTGTATTTTCTATTTGATTTTAGAAGGTGAGCGTCTGGACCACTGTCTACAAAGAAGCTATGATGAGACTTCTTAGCCACTGTTTGTATATGCTTTAGCATTACACAGGTTTCCTGTACAACATCTGAATCCAAAGCTTTGGGACTTGTAGTAAGCCCCAACCTTGTCTAGATTGCATTCAGAGTACTTCCAGCAGTCAAAGACATTTTTTGTACCTTAAAAAGAAAAAAGAGATGGTATGTTAATTTGTGTTTCTGTAAAAAAAAAAAAAAGATAGAAAATGCAGGAGAAGGGGAAAGAGGTTAAAATATCTGTTGGATCCTTCATAAAAAGACATTTTAAATAAGATTTTGCTTTTCTATTGTGTGTTTTTACCGAGTACTGTTGTTGCTGTTTTTAGCTTATGGCAACCCTAAGGAGAACCTATCACGCAATGTGTTTTCACGGCCAAGAAGAGAATCAAACCCTAATCTCCGGAGTCATAATCTAACTCTCAAACCACTACCACACTGGTTCAACCAGCCAATAAAAGACTGTCTCTTTGATGAAGTAAATAGATATCTGTAATAGATACAAGCAGTCCCCAAGTTACAAACAAGATTAGTTCTGTAGGTTTGTTCTTAAGTTGAGTTTGTATGTAAGTCAGAAAAGGTACATTTTGTAAGTGTAACTCCAGACACACACACACACATATATGTATATATATAGTGTTGGACCGCATGGGGAAGGGTCAATACCCCTCAGGAGTTTGTTTTTCTGTCTGTGCTCCTGTTCAGAAGATTTCACCATTCTTTCTGTCCTTGTGATAATTGGATTTTGAAAAATGTGGCTTGTTGTGGAAACATGGATTGGTGATAAAGCTTCAGTGGAAGCTTTCAGTGGAAGCTTCATTGCCCCATGATAGCTCTTCCAGGAGTGAATTTTGCCTTCCAAGGGATAGATTTCTTTCACTTCCTCTCATCTCAGCCCCATTCTTAACCATGAGTTGTTTGTAAGTTAAATGTTTGTAGATTGGGGACTTCCTGTATATCTATGCATACACCCCCTTCCTGTCAAGAATAGTGGGCTATGGGATATCACAAGGAAAGCAGGAGTAATAAAAGGTGGAATACTTACCAAGATTCACTGCAATGCAGGCATCTTTCCCAGCTGGGCATGTCACAGTCTTTTTGCATGGACCACGAGCACATTTATAACATTTCACAGCGTTTCCTAAACAAAATGAAAAAGATGTATTTTATTTACATCCTACATTTCTTCTGGGACAGGACACAAAGAGACTCACGTGTATTTATTTGTTATGTTTTTTATGCCGCCTTTCTTCCAAAGTGAGAACCAGAGTGGGATATTAAGTTACCAATTTGATACAAAACTTTTTGTTTTACAAAAATCCGTTAAACTAAAAACATTAGCAGCTTAGTTACTTGGTGTGCAGTGTACTTATGTCTTTTCCTTCCCATCCAGCTTAAAAGTCAAGATGACAAAAATCTGGCAGTGCAAGGAATTTCTTATGGTAACATAAGGTTGTGGAAGCCTTTGGATAAAGGGGCAGCTTAATTCTACTGCAACTGAGATGTGTGAAGTCCCAGGAACACATTGTAATTACCTCCCACTCATAAAAGTCCTTTATTCACCATGTCTGAGAACAATTGCTGTGAAAAGACAGCTCTCATGGTACTATGCAAATGGATCTATCTCTTCCGGCAGGTCTACCCAGATAGTTTTAATGATGAATTTTAAACTTCCACTCTATGCCTAACTTTTGTTTTGTGTATTTTGATATGTATTTTGTGGAAATCTGTTTTAATATGTGTGTTCTACTGAGTGTTTTTAAATGATGATGTGTTTTGATTATGTGTTTTGGAAATGTTGTAGCCCACCTCAGGCCGTGGGAAGAGGCGGGTAAGAAATAATAATAATAATAATAATAATAATAATAATGTCCAGAGGTCCACTGCAAAACCACTTCATTGAAGTTCTTTAATGAGAGAATATCTAAGATTAATAGTTTGGTATTGGACTGATCCTAGATATACAAACTCCAGTATGTACACTCCATATGAAAGTCCCCTTCATAGGGAACAATCCACTTAGCACTTACAGAAGGTACAACAGAATATAGGAAAATCCATTTAAGAAAGGTGGTCAGACTAATTTGGAAACTCTGACCAAAATAAATCCTGCTCATATTGTTCTCAAAGTAGTCAACACTGAGTGTGCTTGCTGGCCCAAAAGGTATTGCTTGAAAATATAACTTTTGGTATAGAACAGGGCTGAAACTTCTGTTTATATTACAAATTTCTCAAAATTAGTTTTGTTATTCTAGTCCTGTTCTCCCCAAAGCAGATTTTGATTGTCTGCGCTGAAGAAGAGCCTACTTCACTCCTGTAGACTATCTTCTTCAGGGAGTAGGGTCAATCTACTACTTTGCCATTTTCTTGGGAGTGGGAGAGAAAAACTTTACGATCCAAATCTTCACCAACCCAGAACATGCTCTGCTGAGCCATCCCTCAGAAATGAGATGCCCCATTGTCTCTGTTTCTCTGCTTGGTCTTTTCCTAGAGCTTTGCAAGGTTTTATTGAAGCACTCAAATACTTACCAGACTGGCAGAACAATACCAGAACAAAGGCAATGAGCAAAGCAGAGACGAAAAAAGACTTCATCTTTTCAGACAGTGTTTTCTTATTAACCTGTAAAGTCAACAAATTTGGATTTTGAACTGGATGTTCTGAAACAAGATTGATCTCTATGAGCATGAAATCAGAACCAAGCAAAAGTTTTTGTATTCTAAGTGTCAGTTTCTAATCTCATTGCTAAATACAAAGGCTTGAAAATACTGTGTGCACCCAACAGTTGACAAGCTCTTAGAAGTAGTAGAAAGAAAGATTTTAAGAGTTTAAGGTTTGGAGGAATCCCAAGGGAAACTTTGATCACCCTGGTCTCACACTTATCTTTCCTGATGGTTAGGAGAATGAGACAAAATTGCACAAATGACAAAGTTCAGATATTACCAATATAAGTTCTGGTGAACTCTATCACAGGACTATTTAGCACTATTCCAATTCTGCATATTTAAAATCCAGTTGCCTAATTTGGTACAATATTCCCATAATGACATGCTGTATAAAATATATATTAGAGAATGTGCTACAGAAATTGCACAAATTATTCTGAATTAAAAGAAGTCATGCGTATTGTTATTTCCATAAGAAAGAGAGAAGCATGAAGTCATTAGTCCTAGATTTTAATGTTACCTAATTGCACCACTGTAAGTGGCCACAGAAAAGGCAAAAGGTGATGGAGTAAATGGTGGGGCGAGAAAGAAATAAAATAGATGGGAGATCAAAGTCTCTGCTATCACAACACTAGCTAAGACTGAGATCTTGGACATACTGACTAGCAAATAAGCTCCACTGAAATATACTTCTGAACAAAGGACCTACTGCACTATTAGTATTCACACATGGAGGGACTCATGTTGACCAGTGAATTACGATCTCTGTAGATCTTCCTACTGTCCTGACATCTGTTGCTTTCCTAGCCTCCTAACCATGCTGGTGCTACTAATTGAGATGCTGTAACTTGCCCCATCACTATCTTGAAACAGGATCATGTTTGCAGGTAGGCTGTAGAATTAATGCAGTTTGACAGCACTTTAAATGCCAATGCTAAGAAATCATGGGAGATGTAAATTGTCAACATTTGTAACCTCCTCTTCTAAAGAGTGCTGGTATTTCACCAAACTATAACCCCCAGGATTCCATAGTATTGAACCAAGATAGTTAAAGTGATGTAAGCCACCTTGAGTCCCCTTTGGGGTCACAAAAGGTGGGATATAAATATAGTAAATAAATAAATGTCAAACCCCATTAATTCTTCAGTGTAGAATCATCCCTAGTTGCAGTCCTCAGCCTTATCTGTTCAAGCCAGTTTTGTTCCCTGCTACCTTGCCCTTTTATACGATTTTATACCATTAATAGGTCTGCCTCCATTTTCTAAAATTTAGACTCAGTCCTACTTCTCCAAGTAATATGGCTACACCTGAGCACTATCTAGTTCTTTCTGAATCTCCCGATTTTCTCTAAAGAGCTGCATTTTGTTGGGTTATTTTTAAGACATTGCATTGTAGCAATTAATCCCAAGTTCTATATGCCCAACTCACTTGTTTTCATCCTGATAGCCCACTTACTTTCTGGTTCTCTCCAAAGATGGGGAAAACAGATATAACAGAGGATGTATAAAGCAAGGCTTAGACAGCAATGAAGAAGAAAAAGCAAAGCAAAGGCCACTTGCCAGTGTAACTCCTTGCCAGACTTGCTGGTTGAAGACCCGATCCACACTTTCCTTGCTCTGCCTGACCAGAAGAATTTATATAGCCAAGAAGGGCAAGTTTATTGACCAAAGGCGGATAATTACATAATCCCTTTTATTGAACTATGTAATAACAGCAGATGGAAAACGTGTTAATCTTTTATTTACAAAAGGTGAGTGCCAACTTTGTTTAGTAAGATCAATGGTTTTAAAAATTTTGTTGCTTTTATTCCAGCAAGAGCAGCTATTTTTGATGTTGATGATGTGTTATGTTCTTATATGTTTTCAGTAATTGCAATTGTTCTATTTTAAGTTATGTTAATTTGACCTATGTACTATTGTTTTTTGTATTGTTTAAACTGTTACTTGCTGTAAGCCGCCCTGAGTCCCTTTCCGGGAGAGGAGGCGGGATAAAGATAAAACTTATTATTATTCAAACTTAGTATTGTTCAAAAAATACACATAGCCCTCTCTATAGCAGCCTTCCCACAATTTAATATTTTAGATAGGGCATGAAGTTGAGAGATATTGTAATGTGGGAGAATCCTGCTTTGTGCTGGTGAAACGTTTCAGGACTTCCCTTGTTTATCCAGGCTCTAGTTGACTTAGGCCCCATCCCCTAGCCTGGGACAGTCCATGGACTTTAAATGAGTAGTGTTGCTTAGGGCTCAGCCCTAAGACATAGGTTTTCTCAAGATCTCCCTCCATGGGTAGTTGGAAACATTATTTTCCTGCAGTTGAAATACATTTGCTCCTTCTGTCTCAAACCCTGCACCCTTTCTAGCTAGTCATGTGGCTATATAATGTTTGCACAGACTTTTAACCAGAACCACATTTTAATACACCCTATGTATTTGCATATGATTTGTCATCAGTCTGCTTCTTATCTAAATCCAAAGTGTTGACAGTTGGAAATGTCCTTGCTGCTAAATCCCACACAAGGAAATGCTTTTTGAGTTAAGGGCATCACTTCCAAACAAATTTAGCAATATATTTCATTTCACCCTATTCATGTCAGCAATGCTTCAAAAGAAGACTAATTTCCAAATTCAATTGTTGTTCGTTTTTTTAAATATTTATTTATTTATTTCAAAGTTTTATATACCGACCTTCTCACCTCTTTTGAGGGACTCAGACCGGTTTCCAACCATAAAAACACATACAATCGGTAAAACATCATAGTTCATATTACAATAACACAGGGAATGACTAGTTCCAAAAGTCAACTGTGTGTCCAGTAATCTTCCCTGAATCTACAATTTGGTGATGGATCTGGGCATTGTATGTTTTTACCCTGTTTCCCCTTCTGCTCCCTCACCCATATTGTGTTTTTAGTAGTTATATTTATATTTTTAATGTACCAAACATGCTGGGTTTGTCTGGAGGTGTGGCACTATTTCCTGTGCTGGTCAATGACCGAAATAAATATTTTGATTTGAATAACACATTAAAACAAGAAATATATTCAAAAACTACAGTGGTCAGTTGTCATACTAAAATCAATTATACATCATCTTCCATCCATATCTTAGGGTGTTGTCTCACTCATCGAAAGCCTGTCTCCATAACCACGTCTTCACCTGTTTCCTAAATGTCAGGATAGAAGGGGCGGTTCTGATCTCCGGTGGGAGAGAGTTCCAGAGTCATGGGGCCACCACCGAGAAGGCCCTGTCCCTCGTCCCCACCAGACGCGCTTGTGAGGCCAGTGGGACCGAGAGCAGGGCCTCTCCAGATGATCTTAATAATCTTGATGGTTCATAGGGGAGAATACATTCGGAGAGGTAAACAGGGCCGGAGTTGTTTAGGGCTTTATAGGTTAACACCAGCACTTTGAATTGTGCTCGAAAGCTAATTGGCAGCCAGTGGAGCTGGTGTAACAGCGGAGTGGTGTGCTCCCTGTACCCAGCACCCGTTAGTAGTCTGGCTGCCGAGCGTTGGGACTAGCTGCAACTTCCGGGCAGTCTTCAGAGGCAACCCCACGTAGAGAGCGTTGCAGTAATCTAAACAGGATGTAACCAAAGCGTGGACCACCATGGCCAAGTCAGACTTCCCAAGGTATAGGCACAGCTGGCGCACAAGTTTTAGTTGTGCAAAAGCTCCCCTGACCACCGCCAAGACCTGGGGCTCCAGGCTCAGCCATGAGTCTAGGAGAACTCCCAGACTGTGAACCTGTGCCTTTAGGGGGAGTGTGACCCCGTCCAGCACAGGCTGTAACCCTATACCCTGTTCGGCCTTACGACTTACCAGGAGTACCTCTGTCTTGTCTGGATTTAGTTTCAATCTGTTGTCCCTCATCCAGTCCGTTACAGCGGACTTGAACAGCCTCCTTAGTAGCAGGTGGAAAGGAGTGATAGAGTTGGACATCATCTGCGTACAGATGACACTGCACCCCAAAACTCCACACCCCAAAAAGTCTGTGATAGCAGCTGTTATTCAGTGGTGACTCCACTGAAGGTGTGAACAGTCAATCAGGCCAGATCTAATCGGATTCAGTTGTGTCCACACCTCCAAAATACCGTACATTCAATTGACTTGCATTAATGGATGGATTCAGTGCTTCTGCTTCCAATAAAGCTCAGATTATCTGGGCTCCCTATAGCTGAGTGTTTGTGTGTGTGTCAGAAGTGACTTGAGAAACTGCAAGTCACTTCTGGTGTGAGAGAATTGGCCATCTGCAGGGACGTTGATCAGGGGACACCATCTTTTACCATCATGTGGGAGCCTTCTCTCATGTCTCCATGTGGGAAGCTGGAGCTGACAGATGGGATCTCACCCCATTTCATGGATTAAAACCACTGACCTTCAGGCCAGCAGGTCAGCCAGCACAAGGGTTTAACTCACTGTGCCACTGTGACTCCTAGCTGAGTTGTGAATCCACTTTATTTCAGCCATGTAGATATGCCATCTTCTTGCCTATTGTCAGGGAAGTATGTATTCTTATGTAAGTCATTGATGTAGCATATTGGCCCTATATTTTTCCTACTGAAAATAAACATACTACTTTCTCAGACTTGACAAAACTATGGTTTATTGGGTGCATCAAGATGGGCTGAAATAGGAAAAAACACATTTGGAAGAATAAACAATTCTGTTAGTGTGTTCCCTCCCAAAAGAGTTTGAATTATGACTCAATGTTTACCTTCCCTATTATCCACTTTTTCACAGAATTTTGTTTCTGAAGCATTAACTCTGTAAAGTACTTTGTCAGGTTAAATATTTAAAAGTTGGGAAACACTGCCTAAATCCAATGGTTTACTATCATTTTTGTATCCTTAAAACAAAGCTTTGGTAAATCATAATTGATACTAAGGTCATTCTTTATTGTTATGATACTTGAGACCCACATTGCTAGGTGATTGAGTCTTTAAGAATGGACA